ATCGTGATGTGCTCAAACAACCTCAAATCGTGACTTTTAGATAACGACAAAGTTTAGTCATCGCTAGGATTCTGGGCGATCCAGCAATTTAGGCGACGACTCCTTCGCTCCGGGCGTCCATAGGGTATTTTATTCGCTCAACATCTGGGCGTTCTGCAAGCTTGGGCGACAACGTCCCTTTGTTTGTGGGTTTCTTACCCTTTGTTTGGGCTTTCATCTTGGATTCTCAGCTGAGCTTCGCTCTTTGGGCCAATAAATTTGGGCTGCACTTTTAGTGTGTCAACAATATATATAACATAAAATTATATTATGGTTAATTGTCTCATAAATTATAAACATTCATTAATAAATAATATGTCTCGTTAAAATCTTAATATGAAAATCCTAATACAGGTTTTTTAAAAAAAGGGGAAAAAGTACATTATAATTCCTTGCATACACTACAAAATTTGGCTCATTAAAAACATCGTCTAAAAATTTAATGGGAATACAACATTTACTCCCTCTCTATTTACGAGCTTCTCAAGTGTTGCGGTTGTTTATTTATGTCAAATGTACAAATAAGTTAACTTTTTTTTTTATTGACTCGAAATCTGTTGAAATACGAGGAATGTGGCTCGAATTTCTAAAGGGCTTAGTATTTCTATTATTGACCTCAGAATCCACTAAAATCTATTAAAATATTTTCAATTAATAAATTCATAGAGATTCACAAGTTAGTGAAGATACAAATATTTTAATAAATTTCATTGAAATCTGAGTTGGACACACTTTAAATTTATAGAGATTTTAAAGTTCATTAAAGTTTGAGTTGAGGACACGAAATAAATTACTTATTTTTCATATTTGATTAAAGAAAACTTATTTATTTTAATTCGTACTTAAAAGTATACGCATTTATATATTTAAATTATTTATTTTCAAATTTTAAATGCATTTATTTATTTTCTATTTTGATCAAGGTAATTATATTCACACCACTATTTTTATTTCTTGCACCATATTTTAATTACATTATAGAACTTTATGTCCCTAGCGATTTTTTTTTGTCATTATTATTATCAAACTTTCCAATAATTAGTACATTATAGAAAAATATTTTTTTCCTCGTTTCAAAGTACGAAAACAAAATATTTTGATATAAATCTTCATCAAGGATGAGATGTACTAATTAATGGTAAGTTGAAAGATAAGAATTCGGCGAAAGAATGTTAAGTAAATTATTGTTACAATGAGCAAAGATTGAAGAGTTTAACTGTAATTAAAATATGGTATAGCAAATAAAAATCGTGGTGTCTATATAATCACCTTTTGATCAATAAGATAAGATACTTTATTTTAGTACTTAGTAAATGTCCTTATAAACTGAGTATTTATGTTTAGCCAAACATTGAATTAATTGGATCATGAGCACGGTCGAACGTAAGGAATATATTCATGAAAAAGGGAAATTTTATTAAACTGATTGGCTTTCCGTTATTTATGAATACTTCATTGCAGCAATACACTCACCAATTCTTTGCTCTCCCTACACGAAAAGTCCAACTAAATTCAATTCTCCCACAAGATATATAGATCCACTGCACACACATTCATACACAGAAAGAGATACAGAGAGATTTGAAGAGACACTAATTAAGAAGAAGAAGAAGAAGTCAAGAAGACGAATAGTTTTGGTGAAGGATGTGGCGATCTTCGAAGGTGTTAAGGTTTTTGGTACCGTTGATTGTGGCTGTTGGTGTAGTGGTTTCGATGAGTCCTAAGGCCTTCATTTTTAGTACAGACTATGTAGAGAAATACATGAAATCGAGATTGCCGGAAGCTGATCATTTAACAAATTCCTCGGAATTGCATTCCATTCAAGACTCAAATCTAAAACAGCCGGTAAGTTCTCCAACACATGCTTAACGTTGATCACAAGACTTAAATGAATACACGACTTTTTGATGAAATAATTAGCGCGAGTCGAGCAAATATCTTAAGTCGAATTCTTGCGATTGTATATCTATATTTATGTTGATTTGATTTCCTTATTTAATTTTCATACCCTCATAATTCAAAAGGAAAATTGAAGAATTTTTTAAAATTAAGAGACATGAAAAATGGTTCTAGCTAGTCACCATAAGTCAACAACTAACATGCTTTCTTGCCTATTAACGTTTGATGTTCGACACATTTTAGGTCCCCAATACTCTCCTATTTTTCTTCTTTTTTGGGTTAGGCAAAAAAGTAAGGAAGGAGAGCCAATTTCCAGTACCCCAATTAGTTAGGATCAAACTTTCAGTCTTTCTGCTTGGGTATCTTTCCTATAACTAGACCTCAAGAATTAATTGTCCATTATTTTTTTACTAGTTTTTTGACATACAACCCAAAATTTTATTTGCATCTCTTTTTAAAAATATATGAAGGCGAATAAATGAAAATGTATATTCCGAGAAAAAATATAGCAATTTTATAAATGGAAGGGAGAACAAACACGACTTTGGGTAACAAAAGCTTCGCATTCTTTTCAATCTTGTACCCATGGTGAGGTCCGTTGAACATCGAATGAATCTCGATAAAGAAAAGAAAAATACAAAGAAACTACGAGGGTATTTGGTGGGGATTAAAATTAGAATTTTAGTAGATTGTGATAGAAATTTTTGAAATGTATGGTTGAAAAATTGTGAGACCCACAAAATATGCAGTTCATATTAATTGTTTGACTTTAACTTGGATTAAAATCAGATTTTAATCCGGACCAAACATGGGCTAAATAGGAATCCCACAAAAGCTGGATTTTTTTAATAGTTAATTGCACTTTGGTTCTCCACATTAATTTCATGTTTGGATTAAAATCAGATTTTATTCCGAACCAAACATGGGCTACATCAATAACATCTATCTCACTTGTACGAACGCATCGTTCAAATTAACTCATCACGATTTTGAATTGGTTAGACTACAAATCACACCCTCACTATATAAACAGATGGTTGAAGTACTTCAAAATGTTACATTTGCTCTTAAGTGGTGTTAATTTAGGAAATTATATTATTCTAAACAACAATTAAGTATTGTCAAAACAAAATTTAACAATTAAACCTTTTTTTAAATAAAAAAAACTCAACAATTAAGCTTTTGCTCGCACTTAATTCTCGAACATGTATCTCTAACCTGGAAATTTATTCGAAAAAGACAGCATTTGAACAGTTGATCATCTGTTAATATATAGTTCAACAGGTACGAGAAAAGCAAGTACATGAAAATGGAACCAGGATTCCTAGATCACAGAAAAAGTACAGCAATTTGGAGAAGCTGGAAGTTGGTCTTGGACAAGCTCGAGCTGCCATTAGAGAAGCTCAACATGGGAACCAAACAGAAGATTCTTTCTATGTCCCCGACGGTCCTATGTATTGGAATCCCAAAGCCTTTCATAGGTACATATTTTTCTCCATTTGCACCGTCCCTCGAAAGACACGTTGAATTGTAACATGTTGCACTGTGCGGAACCTAATCATATGATACACTCGTCCTAACCAAATTCTTGGCAAAAAGTGCAGGAGCTACTTGGAAATGGAAAAACGACTCAAGATATATGTTTACGAAGAAGGGGAGCCCCCGGTGTTTCATTATGGTCCCTGCAAGCATACGTATGCAATCGAGGGATTTTTCATTCAGACAATGGAAATTAGCCGTTTTCGGACAAGTAACCCGAAGAAGGCCCATATTTTCTTCCTTCCATTCAGTGTGACAATGCTAACTCAAGTAATTTACGTGGCTGAATCACACGACTGGAGTCTCATGAAAAACACAGCCTCCGATTATGTCAATGTTATTGCTCAAAAGTATCCATACTGGAATCGAAGCCTCGGCGCTGATCATTTCATGCTTGCTTGCCATGATTGGGTAAGAAATTACAATTTTTTTTTCATTTTGATCACTAAAATTTTCATGTTATATTAATTACATGCAGTATTACCAATGGTGATGTTGCTTTTAATTAGTATTTCATCAAATTATAAAAATCGCAGGGTCCTGAAATTTCATTTTCAATTCCATATCTACACCAAAATGCAATTCGAGCTCTATGCAATGCAAATACCTCAGAAAGATTTGACGCCATCAGAGACGTTTCCATCCCAGAAATCCTCCTTCCATCCGGCACAATCGATGGCATGCTCGGCGGTCCATCGCCGTCTAAACGTCCGATACTCGTCTTCTACGCCGGCGGAGTTCACGGCCCCATTCGACCAATTCTCCTGGAACACTGGGAAAACAAAGATCCAGATGTTCAAATATACAAATACCTTCCAAAGAACATATCCTATTATGGGATGGTTCGAAAAAGCAGATATTGCATTTGCCCCAGTGGATATGAAGTGGCTAGTCCAAGAATGGTGGAGGGTCTTTACATGGGGTGTGTTCCAGTGCTTATTAAGGATGATTATGTGATTCCATTCAGTGATGTTCTGAATTGGAAGACATTTTCTGTTATAATTCCGGTGAAGGATATACCAAATTTGAAGAAAATCTTGTTGAGCATTCCTCAAAGGCAGTATATAAAGATGCAGAGAAGAGGGATTCAAATGAGGAAACATTTTGTGGTTAATTCTCCTCCGAAACGGTACGATGTTTTTCATATGATACTGCATTCGATATGGCTTAGGAGACTCAACATTGGACTTCGTGATGTCCATGCAGAGGAATGATTTCTTGCCCGAGAAATTAGTAAAGATGTAACTTTAAAAGTATATGACAAAATAAGTTATTTAAAAGCTGCCAAACACGTTCTTCATTAGTAAATTTGAAGTCCTAACTAAGTAACTAGAGAATATGAATATCCTTTGTGCAGCTGAATTTATTTCAAAAATTCTGATGAATTAGTGGGAGCTTGTTATGACGACATTCGTTGGATATTCTTAAGATATACGTGTTGTACTCAAAACTTATTTCTAATTTACTTTTTCTTATTCGTGTACTTCATATCTCGATGTTTAGAGACTTGTTCTCTTTTTGAAGTGATTCTTGTTTAATTTAAAATATTTATATTAATGGACAAATTGAAGAGAATATGATGCTTGTGGTTAGAGTACATTGAACCAAACAGAAAATTACTACAAGAATGATGTGTTACAAAGATAACTCATACAACCTTAAATGTTCGTGTTAACGATTTCTGATGTAAATTCAACCCAGCGACACACCAATCATGCCCCTTATGGCTGTGATAAGTGTACATTTGTAACGCCAGCAACAAGCCATCCTAACCCTTTGAATTGTCATGCGTGAATCACTATGTGTCATTGTTGGGCACATTCAACAATAACAAATGTCACTTCAGATTTTCCTATATTTCTTTCCTCTCGCTCAGTTCAATCCAAACCTCATAGAACACAATTTCCAGCACATTCAGAAGAAGAAATTGCAGCCCCACTATGTACTGCGATCACCCAAACTTTAATTGGCGCATTCAAAATTGATCGCAGTCAACACATAGACCCAGTTACAATTTACATATAGAAAAATGGGTCAAACGAACAACATATGCAAAATGAGCAACTATGCAACAACCCTCTCTATATAGGCATGTAAACTACACCTACCAATTACGATTAGAGTCGGCCTTGAGGCTGCACAGGTGGTATGACCGCATAGAGACTCAACATTGTAGGGGCACCAAATTTTTTTTTTATTATATATAATAATTTTAAAATTTTTATTATTATGTGACGCCGGGCAGAATAGTGATTATTCTGCGGGATGGAACCAATTGACAAATACAGAGAAGAACGCAAGAGAAACACAAAGACAAAACGAGAAAAATCTTTATTATTCAACAACTGAATGAAAATAACCCACAAGCCGGGTTAAATAGCCAGAAAAATAGCAGCTATAGGAAATTTGCCAAAAATAGCAAAATCCTATTATTCATACCAAAATAAAATACTTAATTAAAGAAACAATATCACCAAAATTCGGCTCAAATCGAGCAATTATTCTATGACAAAAAGGAAACCGAAATATTACTATAAATGACAAAAAATAACTTAAATCGATGATTCGGAAGGGAAAACAGCTGAATTTGGCCTCGATATCGATGCACACCGAGCATAGCTGAGTGACCACGATGTGCGCGCCGAAAAGAGCTTTCCGAATTGGGGTCACGGGCGTGATTCCGACAACCGTAGCCAAAGTTACGGTCAAAATACCAACACGTGTCCAAGATTGGCCCCAATTAGGAAATGTCGTTGATTACTTTCCATTCTTACGCCGATCAGCCAACTCATGGTACATTAGCGCCATCAACGAGCTATCTGACAACTCGGCTTCGTCTAACTCGGACCCTCCTGCATCAGTCGCCCCGGGTTGGAAAGAACTCGTCCTCGAGTTCAATGGAGTGACTCCAGGATCCCCAAAACAAGGACTGAGGTGCTTCACATTGAAGACATCAGAAGTCTTCAAATGGCTGGGGAGGCGTAGTCGGTAAGCATTGTCGTTGATCTTCTGCAGAACCTCACAAAGACCAACCTTCCGCTCCTTCAGTTTATTGTACTCCCCAACAGGAAAACGATCATGAGTTAACACTGCCCACACAAAATCACCAACTTCGAAAAGGACCCGACGACGATGACTGTCAGCCTGAACCTTGTACTTGGCGTTACTCTCTTGAATGGCTAACTTCACTTGTTCATGGATCCCCCGAAGATGTTCCGCCATCTCATCGGCTTTGTGACTTATACGACCCACGCGTGGAATAGGGGCTAAATCAAGTACCTCAGATGGAACCCGACCATAGACAATTTCAAATGGACTCATTCCTGTGGTTCGATTCTTCGACCTGTTATAAGCAAATTTTGCCTGAGGTAATGTCAAATCCCACTGCTTCAGCTTAGTTCCTGCGAGACTCCTCAACAGATTACCCAAGCTCCGATTCACCACCTCGGTCTCACCATCTGTTTGGGGATGGTAGGCGCTGCTAAAATTCAACTGCGTCCCCAATTTCTCCCACAAACTTTTCCAGAAATGACTCATAAACTTAGTATCATGATCAGAAATAATTGAATGAGGCACACCATGCAAACGCACAATTTCCTTGAAGTAGAGATGGGCAATCCGGATAGCATCCACTGTCTTCCGACATGCTATGAAATGGGCCATCTTCGAAAACCTGTCAACCACAACAAAAATAGAATCTGAGGCTCGTTGGGTACAAGGCAGTCCCAATACGAAATCCATACTGACATCAACCCAAGGTGCTTCAGGAACTGGCAAAGTTGTGTAAAGACCCGCATTAGTAAGAGCCCCTTTGGACCGCTGGCACACAAAGCAACGCCCAACATGATGAGTCACGTCACTACTCAATTTGGGCCAATAATAGGTAGAAGAAACCAATGCCAGTGTCTTATCCCGCCCAAAATGTCCCATGTTATGAAGTTCACTAACAATATGCTGCCTTAGTGAACAATCCGGAACACACAACTGTAACCCACGAAAGAGATACCCATTATGCAAAACGAAATCATGTCGCTGATTGTTATTTACCTCCTGAATTATCTTCCCGAAGGAAGGGTCTGCAACATACATATCTGTAAACATCTCAAATCCCACGACATTAGTGCTCATAGTGGTGAGAAGTGATGTACGACGACTTAATGCATCCGCAACACGATTCAGGCTCCCAGCTTGGTGCCTTAGTGAAAATGTGAACTCCTGCAAGTATGCCACCCACTTGGCATGCCGTCTACTCAATTTATGTTGACCATTGATGTATTTCAGGGCCTCATGATCAGTAATGAGAATAAACTCCCTCTGTACCAGGTAATGACGCCAATGCTTCAAAGACTGAACTATGGCATAGAACTCGAGGTCATAGGTAGAATAGTTCCTCTTTGATCCTGACAGCTTTTCACTGAAAAATGCCACTGGACGCCCCTCCTGACTCAAAACACCACCAATGCCTACTCCAGATGCATCACAATTTACCTCAAACACCTTATCAAAATCTGGAAGTGCCAACACTGGAGCCTCTGTCATCTATTGTTTGACAAACTGAAAGCTGGTTTCTGCTTCCTCATACCACTGGAACGAATGTCCTTTGAAGCTCTCTGTGATTGGGGCAATCAAAGTGCTGAAATTCTTGATGAACCTGCGGTAGAAGGATGCCAATCCATGGAAGCTTCTAACATCGTGCAAGGTTTTTAGCTTGGGCCACTCCAAGATTGCGTCTATTTTAGATTGATCTGCATGAACACCATCAGTAGACACAACAAAACCCAGAAAGGTAACAGAAGTAGTGAAGAAAGCACACTTCTTCCGATTAATGAACAGACACTACGTCCTCAACATATCAAAAACCGCCCGAAGGTGATCAAAGTGAGATGCCCACGTTAGGCTATAGATGAGGATATCATCAAAGTAGACCACTACAAACTTCCCCATGAAAGGTCGTAACACCTAATGCATAAACCTCATAAAAGTGATGGGTGCATTGGATAGTCCAAACGGCATGACCATCCACTCATATAAACCATGCTGCGTCTTAAACGCCGTCTTCCACTCATCTCCCGGTCGTATTCTGATTTGGTGATATCCGCTCTTAAGGTCAATTTTGGAGAAGACCTTAGAACCGGATAACTGATCCAACATATCATCCAAACGAGGAATCGAAAACCTGTACTTCACTGTAATCCTGTTGATTGCTCTGCTGTCAACGCACATACGCCAAGAACCATCCTTCTTTGGCACCAATAGAGCAGGAACTGCACATGGACTCATGCTCTCACGAATATAACCCCTCTCCAACAATTCCACCACTTGTCGCTGCAATTCCTCAGCTTCCTTGGGACTGAGGCGATAAGCTGGTCGGTTTGGCAAACTCGATCCTGGAACAAGGTCAATCTGATGTTGAATATCCCTCATAGGCGGCAACCCGGGAGGGAGATCTTCAGGCATCAAATCAGAGAACTCCATTAGCATCTGCTACACTTCTACCGGTAAATCTGGATTCTCGTCTGTTGTATTATTCTTACAAGGCAGTAGAGCATATACCACATCTTCACGCTCAATCTCTCCCAAAAACCTGGACATAGAAATCAGATTTGCATTTTTAGCTACCAGGGCAGGAGTGACTTCCTCTCTACGTGGCGCCAACACAACCCTTTTCCCTTTAATGCTAAGGGAATAAGTATTTTTCCGCCTATCATGAACAACACTACGATCATATTGCCAAGGTCGACCCAACAATACGTGACAAGCATCCATCGACACAACATCACACCAAGTATTGTCAAAATATTTCCTACCAATCGAAAAAGACACTAGACAACGCTTTTCGACTGATACTGTACTGCCTTTACTCAACCACGACAATTTATATGGCCTGGGATGCCGATCTGTCTTCAACTGTAATTTCTGGACAGCTTCTTCAGACACTACATTTTCACATCTTCCACTATCAATGATCAGTTTACAGACCTTATCTGCTACCGTGTAGGTTGTGTGAAAGATGTTCGTTCGCAACCAGTCATCTCCTGAATCGCCTTTGGGGGTCAATAGACTCTTGCGCAAGACTAGAGTCTCATGACCGTCTCCATACAGCACACCTTCCTCTTCATCATCGTCATATACGGGTTTTACAACCTTCTCGGTATCGTCTACAGTTTCTTCATCAATTAGGAGATTTCTACCTGTCCGACTAGCTGGTTTCCTG